GATCAATTTAAAAAGATTTAAGTTGGTAATCTAAAAGTTTTCTCAGTATTGCTGTATGGTTAATGACTGGTTGAAGCAATACAGCCATAAAGAGCAACCACAATGGGAAGTTCTTTCCCTTCCAATGGGGTAGAACAGCTCCCATGGAGTAGTGCTACTCTTTGGTCAGCCTTTCTATTGGAAAAAGATGGCAGGAGATGTTGGGGTTGTGGAGAGGGTGGCTAGTGACTACCATTTTTGACTTGGTCAACTCAAAATTGTAGGCCCCAGTATATGTTAACATTATCTGCATGGTGTGTTTGGGGAAAACCACATCTGGCTTCCTCACTACAGGAGGATTTTTGCCACCTGGATTATTCTGTCAGTGCAATCCTATGAAGCTTCAGTCAAATACAGGTCTCAATGAACTCAGACCTAATGCTGATTTTGTGGTTGGAGTGGCAACCTCAGTCAGCCCAATGACTTGCCCAAAGCCACAGTAAGTGTTGTGATATTTGAACCCATTCAATTTCTGTGATCCTGTTTAGGATTGAGTGAACCTATGGTGGATAGACAGAATTTATTAGGGTTAAAAAAAGTCTGCACTGCCACATGCTTGATATTGTATTTCCCCCCTAAAAGGTAATTGATTGTTGCCATTTCTAAGATGTTCCTTGTCCCCGTCCTCTGTATGTATGTGAAGAAATGTCCCTCAGCTTTCATTTTGTGGTTATCAGAGTTGATTATAACTTTTCAACATTACATGTGGTTACTTTGCCTTCCCACTAGATGGCCCACACAAACTGCAGTTCCCATTCTAAGTCAATTGAGTGGAAGTGCCAGAAATTCAGTAGTTTTTTAAAACAATCATAGTGACTTAATGGCTGACATTGAGCAGCTGCTGTAGTGCTGTTGTAGCACAATATTGTGGTAATGGATACTTTTTAAAAATTATCCAATAAATAAGTGGTAAAATATAAATTTCAGAAAAGCATCTACTCCTGCTTCATTGACTGTGCTAAAACCTTTGATTGTGTGGATCACAATAATTTGTGACAAGTTCTTAAAGAGATGGGAGTACAAGACTCTCTTATTTGTCTCTTGAGAAACCTCTGTGTGGGTCAAGAAGCGACCGTGAGAACTGGACATGCAATTACTGATTGATTCAAACTTGGGAAAGGAGTACTCAGGGCTGTATATTGTCGCCCTACCTATTTAACTTATATGCAGAGAGTATCATACGAAAGGCTGGGCTAGATGAATTGCAAGCTGAATTAAGATTTCCGGAAGAAATACCAACAACCTCAGATATGCAGAGTATACCACTCTAATAGCAGAAAATGAAGAGGAACTAAAGAGCCTCTTGATGAGGGTGAAAGAGGAGAGTGCAAAGGTTGGCTTGAAACTCAACATTAAGAAAACTAAGATGATGGCATCTGGTCCTATTGTTTCCTGGCAAATAAATGGGGAAGAAATGGAAGTAGTGACAGATTTTATTTTCTTGGGCTCCAAGATCACTGCAGAAGGTGACTGCAGCCAAGAAATTAAAAGACGCTTGTTCCTTGGGAGGAAAGCTATGGCAAATCTAAATAGCATGCTAAAAACCAAAAACATCAACCTGCCGACAAAAGTTGCAAAGAAATCAAATCAGATAATCTTAAAGAAATCAACCCTGACTGTTCTTTAGAAAGGCAGATACTGAAGATGAAACTTAAATATTTTGGCCACCTAATGAGCAGGAAGGACTCATTGGAGAAGACCCTAATGCTGGGAATGATTGAAGGCAAAAGGGGAATGGGGACGACAGAGGTTGAGATGGCTAGATGAGGTGACTGGGGTGGTGGGTGTGGGCCTGGGTGGTCTCCAGGGGATGGTGGAGGACAGGAGAACCTGGAGGAATGCTGTCCATGGGGTTGTGAAGGGCTGGGCATGACTTGGCAACTAAGCAATCAGTCAATCAACCTGAGTGCTAAATTGCATAAGTGACTAATTGGGTGCTTACAGATGAGTGTCCCATGAACATGAATATTGTTACTTTTACCCTTTTCTGAATTTTTAAAAGCTTCACACGCATGATTTTTTGGGGGGGGGAGTGGGAAATCACATGGGCTTGTGGCACTTTGTAATATTTTAGATAATTTACATTGTGCAGAGAAAGAGGCATAGTTCCAGTTTGCACATCACAGCACCATTCCTTGGATTGTTTAATTCAGGAAATACACACATGAGAAGAGTATGTAACATCTTTTTGTGTTTAATCAGCAACCAAGGAAGAGGCTGTGTTTCATGATGTGCAAATTTGGGAAGTATCAGTTAAACAAGCCAGAATTAAGCTGTCAATAATCCCTGGCAACTTACTGAGTTAACTCTGGGTTATTTATCCCATAAAATAAAACAGAAATTCAGAGTTAAAGCACACATACAGAGTTGCATATACAACTTATAGTTATGCACAGATATTCACTGTTATCTGTGCATAACATGCACAGACATTCACTGTTATCTGTGCATATTTACCTCAAGAGAGGTAAGGTGTTTATCAATATTTATTAATATTGATGTAGTACTTTTAGAATATTTCTGAGCAATTGTATCTGTTATCTCAGCAAGCCTCAGCTCAGCAAGATTTTTTAAAGTTGTGGATAAGAGAAGGGTAAGCTTTTAACTTAAGGTAGTGAGTTCACTGGAGAGAGGAGATTCAGACTCAGTCTTTTTATCAGTTATCAAATTTAGTTTTTATAGCATACTTATTTGTGATACAGTGCTAGCACCATAATTTGGTGTTCTGGAATTGCAAACATTTTCTTAAGCTATCCCTAAGCATGTTTAATTGGAAAGATCATTTTTTTCTGAAACCAATGGAAATTTCTTGTATGTAAATGCATTCATGTCTGAAGTACATGATACATTAAGTAGGAAATACATTATACAGTGTAATGGAGGCACACTGAAAGTGAAGTTTGAGATACCAGCGGGGCTGTTGCAAAAATATAGACAGGGCTACATTTACACAAGCAAAATAGTGAATTATTGATAGGAAGATCAGGACAACTATGCTGTTTGCTGTATCTAGAATCTAGACTATTAAAGAATGTCTGACAGTTGTGGTTTCTACTATGATTCACTGTGGTCTTGTGAACTGGCAACCTTAAGGAGGCAGTGTGGCTGAAGAAGTGGTGAGTGGTAGGACTGAATTTCACACTCTGATTTTGAACTAGCCAGCCAGGTCTTTGGCTGAGAATTTCTAGTAACCAAAATGCTTCTGAGAAAAGTGTCATTTAAAACACCAGTTATTAAACAGACAAGCACACATTTGTATCGTAGGTTTATCTCAGCTGAACTGCTTCTGTGCAAGATTTCATTTTTATGTGATTTTTTTTCTGGTTTTACACTTTAAAAAGTGCCTAAGGTGGCTGGCTATCTGTCTGTTTAAATAACAGCAGCAAAACCAGATGGTCAATCTATCAATAAAATCAACCAGGAACAGGATGCCCGGGCAGACACATTCAACAAAAGTTAACCAGATAGTAATTGCTTATTAAATTCTGTCCAAATAAAAATCTTGAGTAAATACAAAGTTAAAGACAGATCACTCACAACAATCAGCCCTACAAACCAGGGACAGATGACAAGAAAATCCTCTTGTGCTTCCCTGGAAAACATTGTTTGGATGCAGGAGGGATGGCAGGATAGCTAATACGGCAGATCTTAAAGGACAGACAGGTCTTAAAGGATAGGCAGGTATCCTGAAAGTTGAAAGCAGACTGGCTGGCTTGCTTAGAGTAGAACCTATACAGTTCTTAATTATTGTATGGCATCAAGGCAAGCCATGGACATTTGTGCTTTGGCTGGACTTGAAGTGTATTTATTGAAACATGTCGATTTTTCTTCATGTGCTAATTACAGGAGAATATTTGCTAATGCACTTTATTTAAGTGCATGTCTTCCCAGTGGAGCAGCATTTCTAGATAGGAATATAATGTTGACAGTTGATCCTGAAAGGATCTGTATATGAGAGTAGGTCTTTAGCTAGTTGCCACTGGCACTCTGAATAATTTTGGCTAATGAGTTCCCTGTCAGATAAATAGCATTTTAAGCAGTAACTTTTACATGGTGATCAGATCCTGACTCAGCTTTATGAATTGTGAAGCATTATTGCATTCCTTATAGCTTCGTGTAATCTTTTATTATTTAGTCTGTGATATGACTAAAAGTTTGTAAAATGTTAATATCATGAAATTGAGCCTCCCCCCTTTCAACTGTGATTTCATAAGGGATTATATTTTTACTTACATACATTTAAGTTTTTGACAAACAGCCTGGTTGTTTTGCTGCACACTGACTGTGACGTGTAGGACTGACACTTCAGCAGGTTGCCTGTTCATCCCTTCATGTGTGAGATTTCCACTGTCCTTTGTTGCTGCCTTTCAGAGCGCAGCTGTGTTGAAAGAGGTGTAATGGGTTTAGGGAGCATTTAAGAAGACAGTGGGTCAGAGTTTCACAGTGTTGCTTCACAGTGCTTTTTAATCTTGTTTGGCCAGTAGCAACCTAAGCATTGGTAAGAAACTGACTTTAAAAATTGAACTGGTTTTTCTGTTTGTCTGTTGTCTGGAAGGGTTCCCTGTTTTGCATTTAGCTACCATTGCTAAGTTATATTTATAAACACTGTATATCCTTTCTCAAGGAGTAGAATTCACAGTTTATTTTCACCCTTTTATCCTGTGAGGCTGAGAGAAGGTGACTAATTTACTGAGTTTCCTTGCTCAGTTTGTGATTTAAAACCACGTTTCCCTAATCCAGTTCTGGAAGTTAAATAGGGGAAGGCATCATAGGTAAAAGGAAGGAAACCTCCAGATGCATAAGTGTGTTTTAACAGAGTATTTCCTCAACAGGTTTCAGTCTCATACCTTTGCAATGCTGCAGTGTTCAGAGATCTCCTCCTTTCTAGTTCTTAGAATGGCATGCTGCCCCTTACAAAAGACTTCCTCAAAATTTACTCATTTTTTATTGTTTATTTTCAGGAATTAAATATTATCTATTACTATCTTCATGGAATGGACATACTGTCTCATCTCAGGGAGCATCAGTTGAGGTAAGAGCTAGGATGTTTGCCAGGCAGTGGGATGTTTGTTTGTGCTGATGGAAGGTCCATTCTTCACAGTAATATTTTTGTATGGCATAGATGCTTTGAGGTCTTGAGTTGCTCTACAGAGCTTGAATAACTGTTTCAAGTGACAGAAGAGAAATAAAAGTAAAACCAAATTACATACAATCAGTAAACCATCCAGAAAGCTTCAGCAGCTATGGGTGGTATAGAAATGTAGTAGTAGTAGTAGTAATTTCTTAATTGTTTACTATAAGCTTTCCAAGTATGTAAAATGGATTTAAACTTGAGTTGCAATGCAGCAAGCAGGAAGCAAGCAGTTAATCAATATTTAAGGTTATACGTCTGTACACAAATGGAAGCAAGTCCCTTTCTGATTACTTGTAGGACATCAGTATGCTTAACACTGCATCATGTCCAGTGGATACTACTTTTGATACTTTTTGATTTATAAAAATATAATTATGTTCTGTTTTTTCTGAGTTATTTTTCTTACACAATCAGTGAAACGTAGTTTAACATATTGGTAAATGGGAAACAATTACAACATATAGTGTAAATGGCTAGTATGAATCTAAATTTTAAATCTTTCACTTTTTCTCCTAAAGAATTTCCAAGTACTGGATTCATTGTTGGGAAATGTGAGCTCATATTTTTGCTGCTGGAAACCTTCAACTATGAAATTGTAAAATTGATGTATGACTTTACTGATATTGCTATAATAATAGAGGATTATAATCCACAATGGAATACACACACACACACAACTTTTATCCACAATGGAATAGATATTTTTGATGATACTGAACTTTTCCTTCTTAGAATTATGACTTCCAGTGCACGTTACAAAAGGTATGATGGAAATCAAGTTCTGTTCTGGTAAGTGCACTTAACTGTCATATAAATCAAAACATGAGACAAATCAATATTTGTTGTAATATTTTTAACATAATTTATCAAAACTTGTTCAATCTGAAAATGTTACCAGGTGCATTTAAAAGACTGATAGTTAATGCAAGTCATTGGTAGCCTTTTATCTAAGCCTTTCTACTGTATAGGCTGTTCCTGGGTTATGAATATTCAAGTTATGAACATCCATACTTTCAAATGAAATACGATAAAGGCTGTTAATTTAAAAGTTCTCGTTAAACACGGTTTGTAGGAATGGATATGAACTAGTTTCCAAAGTCTGCTATGGAAAATTGTCATAGAGAAAGAGGAAGGGAAAGGGGAGAGGGGGAGGCCTCCAAAGCATGCATTCTTGCCCCACCCATCCAGAGAGGGAAATCCCTCTGGCATTTCCTTGGTGCAGAGAGGAGGCACTGGTAAGTGAAAGGGGCAGCGGGGAATTGGAACATAAGAATGCAATAAATAAAGAAGAGGAGCCCTGTTGGATCCAGTGCACATATGGTCAGCAGTATTAAGAGTTAAGGTTTGGGGGATGGGCTAGAGATATCCCCAGTTTTTGCACTAAGGGCACAGGTCCTGTGCCCTTAACTCCTGAAAATGTGGGGGGCTGAGCATATATGGAAGCATTTTGTTAGTGTTTGAAATGTATAGAAAAGTATACATGTATGCTAAGATGAACATTTGGCTTACCCATGCTAAATATGAGCTATACATACATAATCCGACTTAACAAATTTGACAGAAAGATGTCCTCAGGAATGGAACTTGTTTATAACGCGAGGGGTTGTCTGTTTTTGCAGGTTTTTGGAGTAGATTATTTATATGACAATCATTTAGGAAACTGTAAATGATATTTAACATTTGTATAGTACTTCCAGTTGTTCAGGGTCATTATCCCCAACCATGCAGATGAAAGAACTGAAGCTGAGACTTAAGATTACCTTAGTGATTTTGTAACAAAGAGATTTGCAATAGTGGCTTTGTAGCTCATTTTCATAGCTGCTATGTTACACTGCCTCTCCGCTGTGCCTTAAAGAGTTACCCAGAAGACCAGTTTTACCTTATCTGCTTTCAGAAGCTTAACAATCAGTCGCTTATGAGTCATACACTGTTCTCTCATATTAGTCAGGTGACAGATTCAAAGAAACCCACAAAATTAATCATATTTGTGCTCATGAACTTTGAGAGCTTGCACTAGAGCTCCTATGTTTGAAAGACTTCATTAGTCATTAAATACTGAGAATATTTACTCTGCATATGTGAAATTGCCAAGATAGGGCAAAGAATAAGAAATATACTTGGGAAGCTCTGGTTAACTTTGTAATGTACTTCTTAATCTTTGTTCCTTCTTCTCTTAGCTCAGACACTATTGCAAGATGCTGGTATATTCTACTGTCTGGATCTGTTCTTATGAAGGACTCCATGTTTTTGCCACCCTGCAGGTATGAAAAAGTGGACCTTTTTCTTACAGGCAATAAATAAATTGAATGTCTAATTGCAAATGTATATGTTAAATATATAAGCACAGTGTCCCTTTTGGCACAAATAAAAGCTTAGCGCAGTGCAATGAGGTTTGCTTCAACCCAACTCCAGTAGCGATAGCAATGGTGTGAAATAAATTAGAAGTGATGCAACATTAAAAAAAATCCTTCCCTTCCTGCCATGACTCACTGTGGCTGGTTGCTAGATGTCCTTTGATAACAGATGCAGTAGCTCCTGCCATGTAACAATTGGAGGAGGGAGAAACCTGATGATGGTGCCTTCTTAGAAGAGATTGTGGTTCTGACTTGCCTTTTTCCTGTACCGCAGCCTGACTATTTCTGCTAACTGTTTCGGGGCTGTATTTAATCTAAAGCAAAAACTTACTATTTCCTCATAGCCATGCTGAAGAAAGAGACTAGCAGGTACACTGCAGCTTGGTCTTGTTCTACTAAACAATGGGCAATTTTATTATTGTTCCTGTTGTCATTGCGTATCTAGTTGAAAATGAAGTAATTAGTGTGCTTGGCTACATGAGTTAAAGCTAGCTTGTGATGAGTTAGCAAACATTATTTTCTTTTAATACCAATTTAAACAGAGTGTGTAGCAAGTTCTAAATCAGCACATGTCCTAGTGGTTCTTCTCTGCCTTCCAATAAGGCCTAGATAGTGCCTTTCTAATTAATGCTGACCATTTGGGCTGATGCTAAAATACAAATGAAGTGCATTGCAAAAGTCAATAACAAAAGAAGTAAGTAAAATTAGAAAACTGGTTGTTAGGGAAAAGCAACTTAATGGTGAGAAGTTGATTCTAAACTGAATACCTCTTCTCCCTCCCAAACTGAAATTACTAAAGTGTACATTCAAGGTGAATCCTTTTTCTCCAATCCCTTGGAGTGTCTGGAGCTTCTCAGTTGGTCTGGCCTCTTTACCTGATTTCATACTCTGGGATTAATGATGCTTGGTCTGCCCTCATTCTCATTAACATACTTACTAAACTTGCCCACAGTATTTGAAACTGATTCTGAATGAACACATGGTTCATCACTGGGTTTTCTTCCTTGGCATTTCTGCTACATTTTCGAACCCCTCCTCTTCTGACTCAGAATCTGTTCCCATGTCCCTTGAAGCCTCTTTTGTAGAAAGAATGGAACCAGTTCCTACAGTGCATTCATCTATAGTATACATTTTTTATTTAAATCATTTTTATACTGCCTAATAAGCATAAAGTTCTCACAATAGGGTTTACACAATAGGGCACTGCCATTGGGAGTTGAAGGCACTATTTTTTAGTGGTACCACTCCTACCTGACTGGTCAATTCCAGATGGTGGTGCTGGGGGGATATTACCTTGGCCCCATGACAGTTATGTCATGGAATGCTGCAGGGTTCCATCCTGTCCCCCATGCTGTTCGACATCTACATGAAACTGCTGGGAGAAGTGGTAGTAATACCTGTCTCAATCTTCTGGCTATGCAACCAAGGGTGGAGTTCTCCCTCTTGACCACCGCATCACACTGCTGATTCATGTTTAATCTGCAGTCAGCCAGCACCCTGAGATCCCTTTCACAAGTGCTGCTCTCCAGCCGCTTGTCCCCTAACCTGTACTTACGACACCCATTCCTATACCCTAGGTGCAAGATCTTGCACTTACCACATTGAACACCATCCTGTTGTCTCCTGCCCATTTCCGTAGTCCAGACCCTTTTGGATCTGGAACACCTCCCAAAAGAGGATGCATGACCTTCCTGATGAAGGGAAAGTACAAGCTGAAGGAGCAGAATGGCAGCTTGAGATTGATAGTCAAATGGTCAAGGGTCATTTAATATTGTGGATGTAATATATCTTGGTGGGGACTGGAGGTGGCGCAGTGGTTTAAACTGCTGTGCTGCTGGGCTGGTAGATCGAAAGGTCGCCGGTTTGAATCTGCACAACGGGGTGAGTTCCCGTTGCTCCGTCCCAGCTCCTGCCAACCTTGCAGTTTGAAAGCATGCGAATGCAAGTAGATAAAAAGGTACCACTTCAGTGGGCAGGTAACAGCGTTCCGTGTACCTCGGTGTTTAGTCATGCCGGCCACATGACCACGGAGACTGTCTGTGTCTCTGGACAAATGCTGGCTCCCTCAGCTAGGAAATGGAGATGAGCACCGCCCCCTAGAGTCAGGCATGACTGGATGTAACGTCTAGGGGAAACCTTTACCTTTAATATATCTTGACTTCAGCAAAGCTTTTAACAAAATGCCCTGTGATATTCACATTAGCAGACTAGCTCAAAGTGGACTAGATGGAACAACAGTCAAGTGGATCCACAGCTGGCTACATAATAGACTGAAAGAGTGCTCATGCATGGCACCTTCTTAAACTGGGAGGAGGTAAAACAAGTGGGGTACCACAGGATTCAGTCCAAGACCCAGTGCTCTTCAATATTTTATTAATGGCTTGGACAGAGAAGTGCAGGGAATGATTATCAGATTTACAGATGACAAAAAAACTGGGTTGGATAGCTAATGCTCTGGAAGACAGAAAAAAGATTCAGGGTGATCTTGATAGGTTGGCAAGACAGGCTGAAAACAACAGACTGAAATGTAATAAGGACAAATGCCAAACTCTGCACTTGGGAAAAGGAATCCAAATACATTATTAGAAGATGGGGAATAATTGGATCAAGAATGCTGCCAGTGATCTTGTAGCTGCTGTGGATCACAAGCTGAATATGACTCAACAAAGTGGTGTGGCTGAAAAAAAGCTGAATGCTATTTTAATGGCATTAATAGAAGTATCACTTCCAAATCCTGTGAAGCACTAATTCCCCTTACCCAGCACTGGTTAGTTCTCATGTGGAGTAGTGTGTCCAGTTCTGGGCACCAAAGTTCCAGAAAGATATATGCAGGCTGGAAAGGCTTCAGAGGAGGGCAACAAGAATGATTCAGAGTCTGGGAACAAAGCACTCTGAGGAGAGATTGAAAGAACTGGGCATGTTTAGCCTCAAGAAGAGAAGACTGAGAGGAGATGTGATAGCACTCTACAAGTACTTGAAAGGCTGTCACAAAGGAGGAGGCCAGGATTTCTTTTCAGTCATCCCAGCCTGCAGGTTACAGAATAATGGGTTCAGGTTATGGGAACCAAATTACAGTTAGTTATCAGGAAATATTTCTTAATTGTTAGAGCAGCATGTCAGTGGAACTAGTTACCAATTACCTAAGGAGGTTGTGGGCTGTCCCCACACTGGAGGCATTCAGGATGCAACTGGACAGCCATGTTAGAGGGGTGGTTCAACTTGGAGTCCTCCACTGAGCAGGGAGTTGGACCTGGTAGCCCTCTGGTCTCTTCCAACTTGATTCTTCTATGATTATATAGAAAAGTCCCTAAATTTGGCGAGATGTTGTAGCTATGGGGCATGAAGTTCAAGTGCATGATCAAAATACACATTGGTGGACGGAATTAACGGCCGGTAGGTGTGTGGTATCAGATCATACAAGTTGATTCATTCTAGAATGGAAAAGCATTCCATTCCATTCCGTGCTCTCATTTTCTGGAAACATTAAGGACAGAGCTCAGGTCTTTCCCTTGCCATGGGCTAAATACATAGGTTCCCAAGTTGACAAGAAAGACAGACAGACAGACAGACTTTGATGATTCTAATTAAAATGTACTGTGACATTGGCTTTTTCCCCTTCCTGGTCTAGCATGGGTATCTTTTTTTTTTTTAATCTACCCACACATTGTGATATTGTGCAAGATTTTCTTTTACAAATGTCTTGTTTTATACATCTGTCAAGAGTAACTTTAAATTTTCGGATTTAGAATTATAGTAGCAGCAATTTAATAACAATAGATGGCAGGAACTAGAGTTGCAGAGAGAAAAGGATGTGATTTGTGAGTAATGCACATTTCATGAATACTTTTTCAGTGACTTGCCACACGTGGTGAGTTTAATTGTTTTTCAGTGCTTGATTTTCAGTTACTCAAAACCTTTAATTAATGTTTAATAGGAAGGATACCTTTTTGTTCTGTAATTTTTTTGTTCATCTGAAAAACCATACCCAAGTAATTTCTCTTAAAACAGACATTTGTCTGCATCTTAGAAGTTCACATAAGTCCTAAACTGCTTTTGGAGACCCCTTCAGTTCAAAAAGTAGTGAGAAAATCATGAGCGACCTTACTAAAGGGAAAGTACTGCTTGAACAAATAAATGATTATTCATCAATTTTCCCTTTAAAAAATGTTTTGTGCTTACTGGTTTGGATTGCTTACTCTTTGGAAACTTGTATAGCAATACTTTTGTGATAGTTATGACAAGCAATGTGTCTTTGGGACTCGTGTCAAATTACTTAGAATACCTATATTTTATTTATTAATTATTTACAAAACTCTATTGGTGGCTCACAAAATCAGAACAAACAAACAAAGCACAGTACAATAAAATTATTATGCGCACCACAGTTCTGCATGTTGTAAGAAATTTCATTAGTACAAATTGGGTAGTACAGGCTTCGTCTTCATTGCAGTGAGGTCACAGGAAGCTTGTGATCTCTAGTAATACCTGTGCCCAAGGTTTACTCCTTCCATCCTAGATCGTCTGAGAACCTTGTAAAAGGGGAAGCAGTTCTGCAAAAATGCTAGATTACTTCCCAGTTTTTAAAATGGGAATAAAATGGCTTATACATATTGGTTTCTCATCCTCTTGGTCTGTCACTCTGCAAAACTGTGAGGTCAGGCTTCTAAACACAGATAGATTGATGACATCATCTTCAACAAAAGGAGGAGAAGGTGGGAGAAGTACATGCTCAGTTTGTCCAAAAAGGCTTTCCCCATCCAGCCATTCTTAGTCATTCTGGTCTATCTTTTTGATAACAATCAGTTAATCTCCTTAGCAGAGAAAAGGTACAAGGCCATTTTGCCTGGAGGATTAATAAGCCCAAGATTCTTGCCAGATATGCCTCAGCCAACTTACAATGATAGAAA